AAATTATTCCCAGAGTCCACTAGTGTTAATAAATGGGGTCCCTCCCTTTCTCTAGGAAGCGTGCTTAGTATTTCTTTGTTCGTCTGTAACAAGATCAGGTTGAGGAGCCTGCAATCTAGTTATATGCCTTTGACCGGAATTGAACCCAGGACCCTTTAGCCTGCAGGCCGATGCTCTATCCATTGAGCCAAACCAGCTAGGGCTGCATCAATCTTTTAAAATAGTTCTCGAGTTTTGTAAATGATGTCATCAAAGTTACTTCCTTTTCTGTACCAATATGTTCAGCTGAAAACTTTTTGAGGGCATGTCAATGTGTGGTTTTGATGTTTAGGTGACCAGAACTACACTGAGGACAGGGCAGTCAGTGTAATTGATTTTCCATAATTAAGAGGAATAGTGAAAGACCCACCTGCACTTTTGCAGCCTAACCCAACAAACCGCATACTTCAACTCCTTGCACCCATGGGAGACACACTCAAGAACAGACCCAGGAGAACCAAGATGGCAGCGTAAGGTACAGACCTGTGCGTGCTGCCTCCCATAACAACAACAAAACTACCAACTATAGGACAAACAGCTATTATATGGAACCATGGGAAAGCTGGCCCAGTGGAAGTTCTACAACTGGAAGGAAAGAAAGAAGAGCATTGAGACTGAGTAGGATGTGCAGAGACACCAAGTACAGAGCCCAACCCAACAAACTGCAGATTTCAACTCCTTGCATAGAAAGAAGAGCAGTGAGACTGAGTAGGATGTGCAGAGGCACCAAATACAGAGCCCAACCCAGCAGGCTACAGATTTCGGCTCCTTGCATCCAGGAGGGACGCACTCGGGGGGGCGGAGTCGGGTTTGGGGCAGGCCGGGGCCGGGCCGGCTGGGCCAGGGATGTGGAACTGCTGTACCAGCAGGCGCACAAGGACATCCACCGGTTCCAGTCTCGCGTTTGACGCTGGGGGATGGCAGACGGGCAGTCGGTGCACTTGGTGGAGGGCGAAGTCCGAGCAAGCATGCTGGATATTCAGCCACCAGGAACGCCTGGAGATTTTGTCTGGTCGGGAGCCGCCCAGCAGGGAACAGAGTAGCAAACTTCCTGTTGCTCAGTGAGGTCGGACAGCCCCGATGAGGTTGAGACAGCCCCGGTGAGGTTGGGACGGCCAGGATGAGGCTGAAACCGGCCCAGTGATGTCGGAACGGCCTCGGTGATGTTGGGATGGCCCCAGTGAGGCCGCGACAGCCCTGGTGAGGTATGGCCCCATTGAGGCCGAAATAGCACCATTGAGGTCGGGACGGCTCCGGTGAGGTCAGGACGGCCCCGGTGAGGTCGGGGTGGCCCCAGTGAGGCTGGGATGGCCCTGGTGAGGCCAAAACGGCCCCAATGAGGTCGGGACGGCCCGGGTGAGGTTGGGATGGTCCTGGTGAGGCCGAAACGGCCCCGGTGAGGTAGGGATAGCCACGATGTGGTTGAAACGGCCCCGGTGAGGCCGGGACAGCCCCAGTGAAGTTGGGACTGCCCTGGTGGGGTTGAAACAGATAATGGGGACCAGTATACACTGATGAACAGGGGTAGATGCAGAGGCAGAGCAGCATTGAATAGACTGTCAAACTACAGTGGGAAGGCTGGGGAGGGTTTGGCGGGGGGTGGTTAAGAGTTCAACCGAAGGATTTATATGCATGCATATAAGAATAACCAATGGACACAAGACACTAGGGATAGAGGAGGCCGGGGGAATGTCAAGGGGGGGCGGGGGAAGGAGACATATGTAATACTCTTTATAATACTTTAAGAAATAAAAATTATAAAAAAAAAATAGCCGAAACCGGTTTGGCTCAGTGGATATTTCGTCAGCCTACGGACTGAAAGGTCCCGGGTTCGATTCCGGTCAAGGGCATGTACCTGGGATGTGGGCACAACCCCAGTTGGAGATGTGCAGGAGGCACCTGATCGATGTTTCTCTCTCATCGATGTTTCAAACTCTCTATCCCTCTCCCTTCCTCTCTGTAAAAAAATCAATAAAATTTATTTTTAAAAAATAGTAATAATAATAAAGAAAATCAATAAGCCTCTACTCAGGCTAACCAAACAAAAGAGAAAGAACACAAATTACTAAAATCAGAAATGAGAGCAGGGTAATCATGACAGATACCATGCAAATTAAGAGGATAATAAAAGAATAGTATGAATAATTCTATGGACACAAGTTTGACAATCCAGATTAAATGGACAAATGCCATTTGAAATCTACCGTAGGACTGAGGCAGTAGTGGTGACAGAAGTGGAAGCTGGCTCATTGGGCCTGACAGACCCAATTGTACTTTGCCCATTCACCTCATCATGGGGGGTGGGTCTAATCTTATGTGGGGGCTCTCTGATGCTTAGAAAAAAATGTGATGGTAACTGGCATCACCCTTATGTAGAGTTAAAGACTGGCCAGGGGGAAAAAAAACCCACCCCTGAACAAATGCTCCTTCTAAATGCTCAACATACAATAAAATGCTCTTGCTACTTTGAAAGAGGACTTGTGAATTGATTAGGAGTAATATTGAAGGAAGTTCTTTTGATTTAGATGTAATCCTAAAAAAAAAAAAAAAAAGAGGAATATTGCAATAGCAGTGACATTGTTGTACCCAGCATGCTGAATTGGCATGAACTCTGCAGGTGGAGAGAGGACACGTTTCCCAGGCTGCACTGCTGGCTGCACTCAGAAAAATTAATTCTATTTCTTTCATTTCTCATTTCCTGTTGCTCTCTTGTTTTTCACTTTGTCTTCTACGCTGCCATTCTTTTTGCAGTGCTATGCCCACAGCATATAAAGCTCTTTCTCTCCCACATCAGCCATTCAAGCCCCTGTAACTTCCACACAATAGTTGGGAATTCATAATGCAATGACTGACATACCACAATTTGGCATCTGTGTACTTTGTAATTGGAATGATTTTTCTTGTCTTCATTTTCATTGGAAAGAAACCTTAATAATTTCTCAGTGTTATCCCATGAACTTCTTTATTGGGATGAAATTAACTCATGTTAAACAGGTTTTATTCCCATTCTTTATATATATTTTTAGTTTTATTTATTTAATATATTTCATTGATTTCGGAGAGGCAGGGAGAGAGAAAGATAGAAACATCAATGATGAGAGAATCATTGATTGGCTGTCCTCCTGTACGTCCCCTACTGGGGCTGGGGAATCGAGCCTGCAAACCCAGGCATGTGCCCTTGGCCGGAATCGAACCTGGGACTCTTTAGTCCACTGAGCCAAACCGATCCACTGAGCCAAACCGGCTAGGGTTCTGTTCTCTCTTGAATGTAGCCTAATGTTCCTCATTTTTTCTAGAGGAAACCCAGAGATGAAACCTTTTCTGTTTTTGGATGCAAAGTTATTTGGTATACTCACAGCCTGACCAGAGATTTCAACATTTTATTTTCATGGCACACGTGAACTAAATACTGAAACTCAGTGGTCCACCAAAATATATAATTTGTCGATCTGCTAAAAAAAAAAAAAGTCTCATTTTGATCCATACACACCACACAGCTATTACTGTGTTTGCTGTTGTCACTTATTTTATTTGATAATCTATGGGTAATGTAGTCTTTGTTATTGACTAAGCAGTCACTAATTGTTTTTAAAACAATTTTTTAATTGTTTTAAAAATTCTTGCAGCACACCAGTTTGCCTGTGTGACACTACTGATGAAAATCACAACTGGCCCTAACAGGTTTGGCTGAGTGAATAAATAGGGCGTGAGCCTGTGGACTGAAGGGTCCCAGGTTTGATTCCGGTCGGGCATGTACCTGGGTTGCGGGCACATCCCCACTGGGGCGTGTGCAGGAGGCAGCTGATCGATGTTTCTCTCATTGATGTTTCTAACTCTCCCTTCCTCTCTGTAAAACATCAATAAAATATATTTTAAAAAAAAGAAAAGAACATCGCAGCTGTAAACATAAAATCCATCTTGTCTAATGTGTCATTTAAGACCACTTTTTCCTTACTGATTTATATCTCTGGGAGATCTATTCATTGATGTCAATGGGAAGTTCAAGTCCCCTCCTATGATTGTATTAATTAAGTTGAAAATGCTGCCCTTTCCCTCCCCCTGCCTCACTGAGGATTTATGACCCAGGCAAATCATAGGCAGAAAGTTTCTGGTTTCAAACCCAATCTGCCCGCCTTTTGAGTTCCCTGTAACTTCACTGTAAGAATGTGCTCCCGGCTTGTGAAGATCCTGGGAAAGACCCCTCCCTGGGACACCTGCAGCTGAAGGGCAGACCAGCCATAGCTCTAAGCACAGCCTCTGGGAGCTGGGAAACTTCTGTGTGAATTCCAGGTTCCTCCTCCCTCTTTATGCTTTTGCCACAGCTGCCATTTACTCACTAGCACCCTAATAAAGGAACAGCCCCTCTATCTGGGGTGCCTTGTGCCATCAGAGGGCACCTGGCCCTTTCCTCCCTTTAAAGAAGTAAAAGAAACGCCCTCCCTCTGCTCCTGTCTCTTCTCTCCTTTGTGAATCCTTTCGCAGCCGTCTCACCAGCCAAAACCTTAAGAATGATGTGGGAAACTCCCCCAGGAAGGGCTGTGCTGTGGACAGCGGTTCTCAATCTGTGGGTCGCGACCCCGTTGGCGGTGGATCCACCCTTTCACAGGGGTCGCCTAAGACCATCCTGCATATCAGATATTTATATTATGATTCATCACAGTAGCAGCATTACAGTTATGAGGTAGCAACGAAAATAATTTTATGGTTGGGTCACAACACGAGGAAGAGTATTTAAAGGGCCAGAAGGTTGAGAACCACTGCTGTGGGAAGAGGTGCGGGGACCCGGGGCTGCCCCCTCGCTCCTGCCCCGCTCTCCCTCCCTCTGTCCCTGCACAGGCCTGGCCGCGGGGCTCGGCCCCGCCCCCATCGCGGAGCCGCTCAGCTCAGGCTCTGGCCCCGCCCACCCCGCAGGGAGGCGCATGCGCAGTTCCTTGCAGACGCGGAAGCGGCTGTGGCGGGGAAGGTGGCGGTTCCCCCTGAGGAGGGTGTTTGTCTTTAAAGCTGACGCTCCCCGTCCCCCTCCCCGCAGGGAAGGCTGAGGGCGCTGCCGGCGCTGAAGTCCTTGTTGGGGTCCCCGCCCCGGAGCCTCTCTCAGCGGTGAGTCCGCGTCCCGGGAGGCTGCGCGGTGCGGGCGCCACGTTCCTTTGGGAGGAAACGGCGGCCCCGGCCCGGGGTCTCTCCGCCTGTGGCTGTGGTCACCGCCTGCCGCGCGGTTTTCCCGCTGAAAACCGTTCGCGAGGCCGCCGGTCCTCCCCGCGGAGCTGAGAGTCTGGGTCAGGGGGTCCCCGCCCTTTGCGCCCCTCCCCCCTCGGGGCGCTTTCCGCCCAAAGAGCCCGGATGGCTCCCGGCCTGGGGGTCTGCACCCCCCTCCTAGGCCCACCCCCATTTAATAAGGGGTCTGCCTGCCCGGGGAGCACAGTGTCCATGGGGGGCTCAGGGGGAGGACGCGGTGTCCCCTGAAGAGGCGACCTGCCCGCAGGGAGGGGCTTTGTGGGCGCGGTGACTGCGGGGGGCGGGGGCCCAGGCTGGGGGGTCAGGAGAGGGAGTGAGAGACAGACACGTGGGCGGGAGGAAGGGCAGCGAGGGGTCCACAGAGGGGCCCGTGGGTGTGGGGGGGACTGGACGGCGACGGTAGGAGTGAGGGGGTCACTCGGGAAAGGAGCCTGAGGAGGAAGGAAGTGGAGACACAGGGAGGAGGGGGACCCCAGAGAGAGGAAGGGGGGCTGAGAGGGAGCGGGTCCTGGGGAGCAGAAGTGGGGGCCGCACAGGAGGAGGCACTTGAGACAGAGACACGGGTTCAGAGGAGAAGATTTGGGGAGCGAGTGCAGGGACAGAAAGGGGGGCTCAGGGATGTGGGAGCAGAGGGAGCAGCCCTGAGTCAGCAGCTGTGGGAGCAGGACAGACGGGAACAGGCAGCAGAGGGGCCGCGGGCGTGGGGAGGGGAAGACGCAGACGTGTGTGGAGATGGAGCCTCAGAGACCAGGAGAAAGAGTCCCTGAAGGGAAGGAGGTTTCAGGAGTTTCATGGTCCAGGTGTAGGACAGACAGAGAGAAAAGGGGGGAGAGAGCAGGAGAGAGGGGGACACAGGAAAGGACCACAGTGGAGAGAAAGGAAACGGAGACAGAGACAGATCCACAGACAGAAATACATGTAGTGGGAGGAGGGGAACCCTGATCTGGGTGAGGGGTGAGCTGATGGGGTGTGGATGGTTAATTTTGATACATTGGCTTGTGGCTCTATATGTTTAATTTAACAACTATATTGTTTAAACAGATTTGAATGAGAATTACAAATCTCCAGTTCGTAAGGCTTGCAAATTGTATAATTATTTGCTTCCATTTGCAACCTGTATTCACACAGAGGGAGAGACTGGTTTGATCCTGATGGGTTCCTTGTCATTTTCTGGGAAGGATGGCAAGAAGGAGGTGACCTGGGACAAGAAATGACTGAGTCTGCCCCCACATGATGCTTTATCAAGGAATATTAGACGCATCGATCTTTTTTTTAGATCCAGGAATTTGGTTTTTCTGTCTCTGATATTTAATTCATGTAAATGGTCATTAACTTCTCAAATCACCACTGGTGACATCTCACACTCACCTCTTATAATTGTATTCTTAATATAATGTGGTCTCCACTTTTTTCAAGCTTTAAACCTAGAAATAATTACATTAAAAAGAAACAACCCTAATTGTTTTCGGTTTTCAGTATATCGTGTGTACTTCAGATTCTGAGCCCTGCATCCTTTCTACTGTCTATCATACCATCAGGCATTGGTTGGTACACGATCTCAGCGTGTACTTGGTAAGGATGTCTTTGATCTTTTTAAAAAAATATATTTTTTTATTGATTTCAGAGAAAGGAAGGGATAGGGAGAGAGATTGGAATCTCCATGATAAGAGAGAATCACTGATTACCTGCCTCCTGCACGCCCCCTCCTGGGGATGGAGCCCCAAACCCTTGCATGTGCCCTTGACCAGAATTCAACCTGAGACCCTTCACTCTGCAGGCAGACACTCTCTCCCTTGAGTGAAATGGGATAGAGCACAATGTCAATGATCTCAGCAGTCAGAAGCTAGTTCTGTGAGTTGGTTCAGTGTTCAGCACCTCTTTCCTTCCCTTCATGCGATTTGTTGAATTAGTGTCTGTGAGCCACAAAGGAGCTGTTCCCCTAAGACCCTCTTGTCCATTCTCTGAAAGTATTGAAGGATGGACTGGGTTGAACTCGAACTTTGTTCCCACAGAGCCCATCTATTCATGGTGAAGTCATTTGCTGAGCATATTTCAATAGCTAACTTTCCCCAAAGGCTTTAGCATGAAGATCTATTCTCCGTAATTTCCTGGGACAAGAGGAAGGAAATCTGCCTGGGAAACCTGCAGGTGTACAAGTTCCTGCTTCATCCCCTCCCACTACCCAGAGGTCTCAGGGGTGCTGGGTCTGATGTCTGGTACCCAGCGCTACTGAAAACAGCTCTGGGGGAGCTTTACAGGCCCCAGGAGAGAACTAGTTAAAGATGCCCTGTCATGGGCCTTAGGGCAGACTTTTTCAGGGGAGGTAAAGGGTGGAGTGTTGGGTTTGGGGTTACAACTGGGCAGTATGTGCTTTCATTGCTGTAGGAGCGTATGGATATCTTTGGAAGGGCAGACACATGAAGACAGAATAAAACCCCTCACAGTGTGGTCTCCATGTAGGAGCTCATTGTTCCTCACTCTCTCCTGTGACAAAGGACTGGAGGGGTGGCCTTTTCCTCATTTTCAGGTCCTCCTGACTGTGAGTGTGAGCTGAGCTGATTAAGAGGCTGTGCGATCTCCTTTGAAGGCACATTCTGTGACTCCTCAACATACTGTCACCTGAGGAAACAACCCTGACCCCCGATCAGGACCCGGACCAAATGGCTGCTTCTCAGGTAAAAGAATGGTCCTGTCTCAGAGGCTATGTTTGCCTTTCCTTGAATATTTGTTGATACATTTCTCTTTCTCTCCCTATGCCTGTGTCCTCTCTGCTGCCCTTGTTACAGAATGTCCTCTTACTCACAGCGGGCTGACTCTGTGCTGCTTCTCCCTCTGCTCAGTCATCCCTAAACCCCCCTTTCTGTGCCTGCACTCGCTCCCCCCAATTTATCTCCTCTGAACCAGTCTCCCTGTCTGAAGTGCCTACCCCTTTGTTGCCTGCACTTGGGTTCACCAGGACCCATCTCTCTTTCAGCCCCCCTTCATCTCTCTGGGCTCCGTCCTCTCCTCCATATTTCTCTACTTCTGATGTTTTTGCCTTTCTTGGTTGTTTTCCTTTCCTTATTTCTTTCCTTTTTTCTTATGATAGCCAGTGAAAGCAGCTTCTATATTTCCCTCTCTCTTTTTTTTTCTCAATTTTTAAAAAAAATATATTTTATTGATTTTTTACAGAGAAAAGGAGAGAGGGCTAGAGAGTTAGAACCATCGATGAGAGAGATCGATCAGCTGCCTCCTGCACACTCCCCATTGGGTATGTGCCAGCAACCAAGGTACATGCCCTTGGCCGGAATCGAACCTGGGACCTTTGAGTCCACAGGCCGACGCTCTATCCACTGAGCCAAACCGGTTAGGGCTCCCTCTCTCTTTTTTAAATATGTTTTTATTGATTTCAGAATTGGAAGGAAAGGGAGAGAGAGAGAGAGAGAGAGAGAGAGAAACATCAGTGAGCAGAGTGAATCTTTGATTAGCTGCCTCCTGCACATCCTCCACTGGGGATCCAGTCTGAAACCTGGAGTGTGTCCTGACCAGGAATGCAACCTTGCCCTCCTGGTTCATAGGTCATCGCTCTACTTCTAAACCACTCTGGCCGGGATATACTTCTCTTCTTTTTCCCAGAGCCTTCTCTGCCTTCATTTTTTGCAGCCTCCACAAGGTCAGGAAGCATTCCCACCTTTAATGAATGACTCTCAACTATTCAGAACATCCCTTTTATGACAGATCAACCTGGGAAGGCATTCATGTCTAACATCCCTATTGGGATTTGAGATGGGGTCAGAGGCTCTTGTGTCTTGAAGAAGGGAAATGTAGGTTTTAGGTTCAAGTGGCTGCAGCATCAGCTTTTTATCAGGGGTAAGAAAATGCACATTTTACTGCTCAGAATAGCTCACAAAGTTCTAAGAAGAGTAAATAAAAGAGAGTTGCTCACTAGATTAGTACGAAAGACTTGGTAGGTAAATGTACTATTAGCTTACAGAACATGAGAGGTACACATGCATTGACACGTGCAAAAATTAATGTTTATTTTTTATTATTTCCTCATAATTATTTATTTATTGATATATTTTTGCCAGTCATGTCAACAGTGGTGACCTGCCCTTCCATGTGCCTCAGTCAACTGATTCCCATTGTCTCACTCTACCTCAGGGGTCCTCAAACTAGGGCCCGTGGGCCACATGCAGCCCGCCGAAAACATTTATCTGGCCTGCCGAGTGTTTTTGCCACCGCTGCCTGTCCTGCTTAGCAGCCGACTCGTTCTGGGCCCACAGTGTGCATGTGTGGAATGTCTGAGGGACAGTGAACTGGCCCCCTGTTTAAAAAGTTTGAGGACCTCTGCTCTACCTGATGTTCACGTGGCAGAGGTGCTGCACTCACCGTAGAGTTAATAGTCCCCCTTTCTCCGTAAGAAGGGTTAGTAGGGGTTTAATCAAAGTTGTGCAAAGACCATCACTTCACATCTGGAAATGTCCCTCTTAGTTTGTGTTTCCTTTTGAAAATGAAGGACTTAATGTTTATTTCCTATAGATCATTGGCTTTTTCATGGGAGCTTTATATAATCAGGCCTTGATTCTTTAAATTTTCATTATATTTTATACTCATGTAACGGACATACTGTACATGATCACTTTTTGTATTTTCTAGAAAGTTTCCAAGAATGATATTATTAATGTGTGTTCAGTTACATTAAATTTCTACAACATAGCTCTGCACTGATGACACAAAAATTTTGAATGAAATTTAGTAGTAAGAAAAATTAGTTCCCCCAGGCTGGTGTGGATCAGTGGTGGAGGTTTTGATTCCTTGTCCAGGGCAAGTAGGTCCTGGGTACCCGTGGTAGGCAGCCAATCCATGCATCTCTCTCTCTCTCTCTCTCTCTCTCTCTCTCTCTCTCTCTCTCTCTCTCCCCCTCTCCCTCTCCCCACACACCCTCTCTCCAACCTTCCTTCCTCCCCTTCCTGTCTTTCCCTTTCCTGGCTCTACCTCCTTGCCTTCCACTTTTGAAAAGTCAATGCTAAAAATCTCCTCAGGTGAGGATTTACAACCACAAAAAGGAAATAATAAGTATAACTTGTTTTGAATCCTTATGTTTCTCTCCTTATTGTGTTTATAAAACACAAAGGGGAACATACACAAATAGATTCATGAGATTTACAGAATCACTAAAGCATCTTGATTTCATAGTTGTGAAATGTATGTCTCTATGCTTAAATGGTTAACATGATATCAGCTATTTTTTCTTTTTTTTTTTTTAAGAACATTTTTATGGATTTCAGATAAGAAGAGAGAGGTAGAGAGAGTTAGAAACATTAGTGATGAGAGACAATTATTGATCTGCCTCCTGCACACCCCACACTGGCATTGAGTCCAGACCGGGAATCAAATCTGACCTCTTGGTTCATGGGTCAGCACTGAACTGCTGGACCAGGCAGAATAATCTTATTCTAAGATTACTCATGTGAAATTTTCCACTAAGATTATGGTTCATATGTGTCCTATTTCATGACAACTGTAAATTCCATTAACGACCGTTTTAGTTCTAAGTTTGGTATGAATTTTTTCTTGTTTTCTTTTTTGGGGTATTCAGAAGTATGGCACCTGATACGGAAACATTGACATCGAAGTAAAAAGTGAGCTTGTTACACATGTGGAAACACAGGCCCCATCTGAGAATCTGGATCAGAATCTGTGTCTTCATAGAAGTTCATTTCATAGTGGTTGCTTTACACTTGAGAAGAAGTCGATATACTTCCAACCCACCATCACATTTACAGCTGAGACATATACACCACTGACTCTGAACGATGCAAACAAGCACTCAAAAATCCATATGCCTGTGTCCATGCCTTAATTTAATTTTTTAAATATATATTTTTTTATTTCAGAGAGGATGGGAGAGAGAGAGGTAGAAACATCAATGATGAGAGAGAATCATTGATCAACTGTCTCCTGTACACCCCCTAGTGGGGATCCAGCACGACACCAAGGCATGTGTCCTTGACTGGAATTGAACCTGCAACTCTTCAGTCTGCAGGCCGACACTCTATCCCAGCCGTGGGCAAACTATGGCCTGAGGGCCGGATCCGGCCCATTTGAAATGAATAAAATTAAAAAAAAAAAAAAAGACCGTACCCTTTTATGTAATGATGTTTACTTTGAATTTATATTAGTTCACACAAACACTCCATCCATGCTTTTGTTCCGGCCCTCCGGTCCAGTTTAAGAACCCATTGTGGCCCTCGAGTCAAAAAGTTTGCCCACCCCTGCTCTATCCACTGAGCCAAACCAGCTAGGCCTATGTCTTAATTTTAAAGTTTATTTTCTTATAAAGAAAAATCTGTACTGTGCATCTGTGTACATGTGTCATCCTCATTTGTCGGTGTCAGAAAACACATCGGAGAATGTTACTGATCAAAGTGATCTTATTGGGTGATTCAGGATACTCCCCTAGGACCCAACCTCTTCTAACACTGTTTTCATGTTGGGTGACATTATGAACTCCACTGGTGACCTCTTGGTCAATGTGTCTTTTTGTTCAGGGACCGTTGACCTTCAGGGATGTGGCCATAGATTTCTCTCGGGAGGAGTGGGAATGCCTGGACCCAGCTCAGCGGAAGTTGTACCTGGATGTGATGTTGGAGAACTACAGCAACCTGGCTTCCCTGGGTGAGGTTGACTTGCTTCCGGAGTTCCTACTCCACCCCTAAGGTTTTATTTCCTTTATTATATTAACATCTCTGGGGGGCTTCTGCTTTCTATGGTAGATTTTTGCTCTCCAGGAAGAAATTGGGCCCTAGCTGGTTTGGCTCAGCGGATAGGCTCAGTTGCCTGCAGACTGAATAGTCCCAGGTTAGATTCAGGTCCAGGGCCAATGACCAGATTGTGCAGGAGGCTACAGATCAGTGATTCTCTCTCATCCTTGATGTTTCTTTCTCTCCCTCTCCCTTCTTCTCTGAAAGCAAGAAAAATATGTTTTTTAAAAGGAACAAATTGGGGATTTTTTTATGTAGAAAAGAAAGGCTTTGTTATATGAATTAGGAACTCAATATTTGTACACTTTACATGCCTACATGGAAGTACTATCAGAAAAAAATGCTTTCGAATATCATTTTGTAAAATATTTTAATATTCTGTCATTTCTTCTGGTCAGAGGACAAACTGGATTTGAAATGGGAAAGCTTCTATCAAAATTCACACTCTATTTCTTTTATCTTTTGATTTTTTAAAATTTCGTTGAATTCAGAGAGGAAAGGAGAATTAGAGAGATAGAAACTTCAGCTGGGCATTAATTGATTTATTTGTATGTGCCCTGCCCAGAGATCAAACTGTAGCTGGACAAGTGGAATGAAGTTAACTAGAAGAGGACATTCTGCCAAGAAAGGACGGGAGCCTTCAAGCAGGCCACGTCAGAACAAAGTCTTGCAAGTAAGACTTACTGTTCAGAGGCAGAACTTTTCCTTGAGGTGATAAATAGTCCATAAGGGCATGGAAAGTTCAAGGGAGGGCGCACTGCTGCAGGTGGAAAGAGTCTTTGTATAACATAGGAAATTAGTAGTGTAATGTATAACTTAGCTCAGATGATCTCATAAGCATGCTTGTTAATCATTGTTACTTGCTGTACTCCATTTTTATTTGCTGTACTCCCTGAATAAAAGCCATGAGGGCTTTGGGGGCTTTTGCTACTTGCCTGACTAGCAATAGCCCTCTGCTTCTCTAAACTTAATCCTGCATGCCAAGCTCATCTCAGCGTCTCCGTTCACAAAGAACATCAACACAAACCTACAACTTTATTATGTAGGTACAGTTCTCTTAGCAACTGGGCTACCTATGCAGGCAGATTGGATTCTTTCACTTACTTCTATGTATCTAGGTTTCTGTCATATCTTTTCATGGCTTGATGTATTATTTCTTTACAGTAGTGAATAAGACTTCATTGTATGTACTTCAGTATATTTATCCATTCACTTGTTGACGGACCTCTGCATTGCTTCCAATTTTTGTAAATCATGAATAAGCAGCCCCTTATAGGCTTTTGTGTAGATAAAAGGCTTAACTCTTTGGTTTAAGAGTAAGGAGCCCAATTACTGAGTGTGTATTCAGTTTTATAAAAACCTCCAGAGCATCTCTCCAAGAGGCTGTAGCATTTGGCATTTTCAGCAGCAGTGATTGGAGTTCCAATTGTTCCACCATCACAAAGGCATTTGGTATGGTCAATGTTCTGGATTTTATGACCAGTTCAGTGGTGGTTTACTGTTGCTTGCCTGTGCTCTTTGTTACTTCTCATTGTTATAATGTGCATTTCCTTAGTGTCATAAGACGTGCAGGATCTTGTCACACTGATTTTCTATGTGTATATATTTTGTAGTGTTGTGCTTTAAGATGTTTGGCCCTTTTCACGTTGGTTCTTTTGTCCATGTTGAGTTTGAAGTCTTCCTTGTGTGTTAGCATAATTGTCCAGTACATGTTGACATTATATATATATATATATATATATATATATATATATATATATATATAATGTCAGAGAGAAAGAGAGAGGAAGAGGGAGATAGAAGCATCAATGATAAGAGAGAATCATTGATCAGCTGCCTCCTGCACACCCCCTACTTTGGATCGAGCCCACAACTTGATATTGTTCCCTGACCAGGAATTGAACTATGATTTTCTGGTTCATAGGTGGATGATCAACTCCTGGGCCATGCCAGCTGGGCCATGTTGACTGTAACAAAATATTTTCTCAGCCTGTGGCTGCTGCTTCTTTTTTTCTGTTGAGATTGCCATATTTATTGTTCTTGTTTTTTTTTTAATGTTTGAGTTGATACATTGGATCTTTCCGTTTTAATACAATGGATTGAAATACAAACTTGGTTATGTATTTGCCTTTCAAAAATGTGAGATGTATGAAATTAATGTAGCTTTATAAGTACCGCACGCTAACCGATTGCGCCACTGGAGCTCCTAATGTAGCTTTATATTCAATAACATGGAAGTTATATTTGCAGCTATTGTGTCATTTCTGGAATAAACACATAGTGAGTCTTGTCTTGAAGGAGATGAGTTGAGATATAAATTTTGTCTCCTTACATGTCAAGTCAAATGAAGTCATTTAATTGATTTTAAACTAGGAGCCTGGTGCACAAAGTCATGCAGGGGTGTGATCCCTTGCCCTGGCTAGCCATCGCTGTATCACCCAGTCCCAATCAGGGCCAATCGGCTCGGGGGAGGGGTCGCGGGAGGTTGGGTGGCTGTGGGAGTTTGGCTGTAGGAGCTCACTGACTGCGTTGTGTCTGCCCCTGGTGGTCAGTGTTTGTCATAGTGATAGGTCGAGCTGTCGACTGGTCATAATGGTCGCTTAGGCTTTTATATATATGTAGATGGTACAGCATCATTATAAATGCACTCCGGGGGCAGGGGGCACCCGGCCTGTGCCCTCTTGCAGTCTGGGACCCCTCGGGAGATAATAACCTGCTGGCTAGGCCTGCTCCTGGGTGGCAGAGGGCAGGCCCAATCCCTAGGTGCAGCCCCTGGTCGGGCTCAGAGCAGGGCCGATTGGGGAGTTGGGGCACCACCCCCTGTCATGCACAGAGCAGGGCAGATTGGGAGGTTGCGATGCCACCCTCAGTCACGCTCAGGGTAGGGCCAATTGGGGGGTTGGGGCACCGCCCCCTGTCATACTCAAGGCAGGGTCTTTAGGGAGGTTGCGGCGCCACCCTCTGTCACGCACAGAGCAGGGCCCATCAGGGGGGTTGGGGCTCCGTACCCTGTCACGCACAGAGCAGGCCCCATCAGGGGGTTGAGGAGCTCCCCCCTGTCACTCACAGAGCAGGGCCCATCAGGGGGTTGGGGAGCTCCCCCCATCACTCACAGAGTAGGGCCGATAGGGGAGTTGGGGCACCGCCCCCTGTCACACACAGAGCAGGGCGGATCAGGGGGTTGGGGCGCTGCCACTGTCACACTCAGGGCAGGGCCGATGGGGAGGTTATGGCTCTACCCCGTCACACACAGAGCAGGACCCGTGGGGGGGAGGGGTTGGGGCACCGCACCCTGTCACACACAGAGCAGGGCTGATCAGTGGGTTGGGGCACCACACCCTGTCACACACAGAGCCGCAAGGTGATCAGGGGGTTGGGGAGCTCCCCCCTATCAGGCACAGAGCAGGGCTGATCAGGGGGTTGGGGCGCCTTCCCCTGTCACGAACAGAGCAGGGCGGATAGGGAGGTTGTGGCCCCGCCCCCTGTCACACACAGATCCGCAGGGTGATCAGGGGGTTTGGTCGCTGCCCCCTGTCACGCTGATCCCGGTGCCGGGAGGCCTCGTGGCTCCGCTGATCCCGGTGCTGGAAGGCCTTGCTGCTCCACTGATTCCGGTGCTGGGAGGCATATTACCCTTTTACTATATAGGATAGAGGCCTGGTGCACGGGTGGGGGCTGGCTGGTTTGCCCTAAAGGGTGTCCTGGATCAGGGTGGGGGTCCCCACTGGGGTGCCTGGCCAGCCTGGATGAGAGGATGATGGCTGTTTGCAGCTGGTCACACCCCCTTCAGGGTGGTGGTCCCCACTGGGGTGCCTGGCCAGCCTGGATGAGGGGATGATGGCTGTTTGCAGCTGGTCACACCCCCTTCAGGGTGGGGGTCCCCACTGGGGTGCTTGGCCAGTCTGGATGAGGGGCTGAGGGCCGTTTTCAGGCTGGCGGGTGACTGAAGCTCCCAACCTGTCCTTTTTTTCTTTTTTTTTAAATTCTGGGCCAGCTTTAGCTCTGAGGCTTGGCTATATGTGTGGGTATATCTTTTTGAATTTGTGTTCTCTGTATAAATCCCCAGAAATGGAATCATTGTGTTACCTGATACTTGTTTGTAAATATTGGAAAATCCTCCATCATGTTTTGTTAGTGGCTGCACCAATGTGTTTATAATCCTGCTGAGAGTGCATGAATGTTCTTATTTCTCCACTTCATTGGTAATACTTGTTTTTTTTTGATTTATGGATGATTGGCATCCTGTTAGGTGTTTGGTGGTATTTCATGGTGGTGTCCATTTGCATTTCTCTGGTGATGAATGAGTTGAACATCATTTAATATGTCTATTGGGAATCTTTATATCCTGTTTGGGAAATGTCTATTCAGGTCCTCTGCCCATTATTCAATCATATTGACTTTTGGAACATCGATGATGAGAGAGAATCATCAATTGGTTGCCTCTTGCATGATCAGGATCGAGCCTTCACCCCAGGCCTGTGCTCTGACGTGGAACCAAACCATGACCATCTAGTTCAGTGATGGCGAACCTTTTGAGCTCGACGTGTCAGCATTTTGAAAAACCCTAACTTAACTCTGGTGCCATGTCACATATAGAAATTTTTTAATATTTGCAACCATAGTAAAACAAAGACTTATATTTTTGATATTTATTTTATATATTTAAATGCCATATAACAAAGAAAAAGCAACTAAAAAAATGAGTGCGTGTCACGTCTGACACGTGTGTCAGAGGTTCGCCATCACTGATCTAGTTCATAGATCGAAGCTCAACCACTGAGCCACTGCTGCCAGGCAAATTCTTTGATGTTTTAAGTTGAACATATATTTCACTAGTGATTCTGAATTTTTTAATTCTGGTACTATATTTTCCAATTTCCCCTTTGGTGTGATGTTTATAAAATACTTTCTCATTCTATTTTTACTTTGGTTATGTAATATTTTGGTGACATTATTTAGTTGTCTTTTTTTTTTTTTTTGACTTTTGGGCTTTAAGATATTTAGAGCCATTCTTTTTTCAGGTAATTAATATATTTCCATTAATGTAGTGCCAGTTTGATTACATTTATTTTGTTTCCTTGATGGTACACTTTTTCTGTTTTTGGAATGACGTGATATCTTTTGTTGAGACTCCAGAATTATATAGTAGCAGGCTTTTGATCATGGTTTCTGTAGGAGAAAACAAATGATAATCATCTGTGGAAGGAATTTTTTCGGTCAACACTGTTTTCAGGATTTGTATTCTTGGTTCGGTTGTCTTTTTAATTTCCAAGTTGAAATGTTCTCTGTTTCTTTCTCAGACCCACGGTATCTTTTCAGGCTTCATATAGATCTTCAGTACCACAGTCTTTGTGGTACTTGAACACTTTCTCATTGTCTCTTTGTAGTAGCCACTACAGGGTACTCACCGTGTACTGCCATTCTGTTCTCACTCTGTGTCATGCACAACAGACACATGTTCTTCAAGGTGCTTCAAAACAGGGAGATCATTGAACACGCACTTTCCTCATCTCTCTTTCCCTCCAGAGAAGAAACTGGGAATTGGCAGTGTTTTTATAATATTGCCATTGTGTTCCAAGGTGTTTGATCAGGTATCATTGGTAAATGTAAGCAATTCTTTGTTCCTCTTTGATGTGAGTTTTCTTCATTGTACCTGTCTTGAGCTTTGTTTGAATTCTTCACTTGCTCTTGTAGTACTCCAAAATGTCATTCGGTCAATATTTGCTGGTAAGTTCAAAGTGCACTCACCTGATTGTCAAAACCTAAATATTTGTTTTCTTTCAGCTCTTTCATGTAAAGATAACCATGCCTTTATGCCAAAGCCCGGAATACAAGATTTATTCTCTGAAATAATACTGGTAAGATATAAAAGGCGTTGCTTTGACAATGAATACTTATAATGAAAGCCTTTGAATTTGAGGAAGAGTGTGTTGATAACAGAAGATATTTTTTTTTTTTAAATTTTTTTGAAATAGTCCGATATAATAAAAGCGTAATCTAAGTGTCTGACCAATCCATCAACCATTTTTTTAAAATATATTTTATTGATTTTTTTACAGAGAGGAAAGGAGAGAGATAGAGAGAGTTAGAAACATCGATCCGCCGCCTCCTGCACATCTCCTACTGGGGATGTGCCTGCAGCCCAGGTACATGCCCTTGACCGGAATCGAACCTGGGACCTTTCAGTCCGCAGGCCGACGCTCTATCCACTGAGCCATACCGGTTTCGGCCCATCGACCATTTGGTTGACCCTTCAACCAGTCGCTCTGACGCACACTAACCACCAGGGGCAGATGCTCCAACCAGTAGATTAGCTTGCTACTGTGGTCGGGCTGTACTGGGTGAGAAGGCCAAACACGCCCTTGAGAAACACACTGATCTACCAATGGTACCTCCCTGGCTGCGGTCCTTCCCTGTCTGTCTAGCCCTCCAGTCCATGGGACCCCACCCTTGCATGATATCATGCACCGGGCCTCTAGTTATTATAATTAAATTCTTGTTACCTAACGAGGTCACGTGTATTAAGGCATTTTAAAGTCAGTTACTTTGGGAGATCTGTGTGTTTATGCACATGAGGGTCGAAAACAACTTTTTACTGTTAGGCATTTTGGAAAGAAAATCTAAGACATGCTGGCTTGGCATTTTGGCAACCTTTTAAAAAGGATTCATCCTTCTTCCTCTGACAATGTTTTGTACTTATTTTTTTTTTTTGTCTATAATTTTAATATATTAGGAAAGCTTTTTTTATACAACTATCTTGCTTTAATACCTAACAAAATGGTATTATGGAACAAGTGTACGTGTTTAATGAAATTATAACTGTGGCTAAAGGCCTTTCTATCTCTCATTATCACCAGAGTACACACAATGGAGATAGCAGTTATCAATGGATTGAACAATGGAAAAAGTTTAAGCAAGAATCATATATTAATCATCGGACAGGGGAACCTGCAGAGGACCATTATAAAAGCGAAAGAGTCTTTGACCGAATGTCCAATCACAATATATGTCAGGTTATTCCTATCGCGGAGAAGACACGAAAAGAGAGTAAATGTGTCAGGTCTTTTCAGCAGTCTTCAAATTACACTGAACAAGAGAATATTCATGCTAGAGAGGAGGCTTACAAATGGAATCCATGTGGGAGAGTCTTCAGTCAAATATTCAATCTAAATAAAATGAAAAAAATTCATAATGGAGAAAAACCTTATAAATGTAAAGATTCTGGTAAAAGATCGAATTGGCCTTCAGGTTGTATGCTAAATCAGAAAATTCATACTGGAGAGAAGCCTTACAAATGTAAAGCATGTGGCAAAGCCTTTAAATGTCATTCATCTCTTATTGTACATAAGGAAAGAATTCATGCTAATGCAAAATTTTACAAACTCAGGGAAAATGGAACAAGTTTTAGTGAATCCTCAAGACATAATCAACATCATAGAAATCATAGAGAAGAAATGACTTACAAATGTTCAGAATGTGGGAAAGCCTTTAGTTGGCCCTCAAACCTTATTACTCATCAGAGAGTTCATACTGGACAGAAGCCTTATAAATGTAGCAAATGTGGCAAAGCCTTTATCAATTCCTTTTACCTTAGTCGTCAGAAGGTTCATTCTGGAGAGAAGTCTTATAAATGTAGAGAATGTGGCAAAGCCTTTAGCCGGTCCTCACACCTTACTTATCATCAGAGAGTTCATTCTGGAGAGAAGCCTTATAAATGTAAAGTATGTGGCAAAGCCTTTCGCTGGCCCTCAAACCTTATTGGGCATCAGAGAGTTCATACTGGCGAGAAGCCTTACAAATGTAGAGAATGTGGCAATGTCTTTAGCCAGTCCTCCTCCCTTAATCTACATCAGAGAGTTCATACTGGAGAGAAGCCTTATAAATGTAGAGAATGTGGCAAAGCTTTTAGCCGGTCCTCTTCCCATAATCTACATCAAAGAGTTCATACTGGAGAGAAGCCTTATAAATGTAGAGAATGTGGCAAAACCTTCAGCGAGTCCTCAAAACTTACTCGTCATCATAAAATTCATACTGCAGATAAGATTTATAAATGTAGTGCATGTGGCAAAGCGTTTAGCCGGTTCTCACACTTTACTTATCATCAGAGAGTTCATTCTGGAGAGAAGCCTTTTAAATGTAGAGAATGTGGCAAAGCCTTTAGTCGGTTCTCACACCTTACTTATCATCAGAGAGTTCATTCTGGAGAGAAGCCTTATAAATGTAAAGTGTGTGGCAAAAGCTTTAGCTACTCCTCATATCTTAATCGTCATCAGCGTATTCATACTGGAGAGAAGCCTTATAAATGTAGAGAATGTGGCAAAGCCTTTAGCCAGTACTCATCACATACTAATCACCAGAAAATTCACACTGGAGAGAAACCTTATAAATGTAGAGAATGTGGCAAAGCCTTTAGCCACTTGTCAACCCTTACTAATCATCAGAAAGTTCACACTGGAGAGAAACCTTATAAATGTAGAGAATGTGGGAAAGCCTTTAGCAGGTCCTCAAATCTTATTGTACATCACAGAATTCATACAGGAGAAAAGCCATATAAATGTAGAGAATGTGGCAAATCCTTTGTCACCTCCTCAGGTCTTACTAGGCATCAGAGAGTTCACACTTGAGAAGCCTTATAAATGTAGAGGATATAACGGCCTTCATCAGCGTTCCTGCCTTAATGCACAGCAGAATTCATACTTGAGAGAAGAGTTACAGATGTGAGGAGTGTCGTAAGTCCTTTACCAGCTATGAGAACTTACTGAACATCACAGAATGGATACTGGCAAAAAGGCTTAGAAATGTGAAAAACATAGAAAAGCTTTTAAAAGGCATTCATGTCTTGCTGTACCCGAGAGACCTCATACTAAGGACAGTCGTTACAAATGTAGAGTTTGGCTGCAGACTTTACACATAGCTCACAATTTACTGAACATCCGAGATTTTATTGTGGAGGAAAGCCTTACACTAGAAAATTAAGAAAGCCTTTAACCTGTGGTCTACCCTACTCAACATTTCAGGGATCATTCTAAAGAGAAACAGCATTAACGAAGTTTTCATCTAAGGATTTAAGCTTCAATGGTTGAAGCTACATTAAGAATGATAAAATGAGGTCTTACAAATTATCAGGCATATGTCAAAGTGTATATCCTGATTTGTATCTTATACAACATCTGATAATTATTAGTGGATCGAAGCCGAGCAGACATAAAGAATATGACAAAGCTTACTGAGTATGCAAACCTTACCTGACATGAGAATTCATACTAGGGAGAAACAATTCAAGTGCAAACATTGTCCTAAAGTCTTTAATTAGCATCCGTAGCTTATTCCTCACATGGGGTTTTATTCTAGGGGGAAACCTTAAAATTGAATAATGTGGGAAATCATATAGTTGGACCTACAGCCCCAGTCTTATCAGGGATTATAATTGGGTAGAAATTGTACATTCATGATATAGGAGGAAGGACTTTTGTTTAAAATATACAGTTTATATATGTTCATAGCAGGACAATTCACCATAGCTAAGATTTGGAAACAGCCTAAGTGCCCATCAGTAGAGGAGTGGATTAAAAAACAGTGGAATACTACACTGCAGTAAAAAAGAAGGAATTCTTACCATTTGCTGCAGCATGGATGGATCTGGAGAGCATTGTGCTAAGTGAAATAAGCCAGTTACAGAGAGACAAATATCACATGATCTCACTCATTTATGGAATATAATGAACAACATAAACTAATTAACAAAAACAGATCCAGAGATAGAGAAGCATCGATTAGACTGTCAAACCCCAGAGAGAAGGTAGGGAAGGGTGGGGGTAAGGGGGAAAGATCAACCAAAGGACTTGTACGCATGCATATAAGCCTAACTAATGGACACAGACAACAGGGGGGTGAGGGCATGAGTTGGGGAGGTCGGGTGGTTATGGTGGGATAAGGACACATATATAATACCGTAATAAAAAATTAATTAAAAAATATATATAGTTTATAAAACTCCAAGGAATTTATGCCTTAAGATGTAAAAACTTTATCCAAGTATGTAATTGATTATGAATTTTAAAGTATCACTAAATTGGCTACTAGATAGGTAGCCAAAATGCCTTTCAGATATTGCTCTTAACCAAAATGTTTATTATACAGTGTACTCCAAACTTTAAATGTAGTTAGGTAATGTTTGTATACTTGAATATATCAAAAGAATTGATGTTTCCAGATGTACAATTACTTAGGATGTTATCTCATTTATTTTGAAATCTTTTGAGAAGGAAATATTAATGTGATTCTACTCCCATATCACTTGATGCTGCTGTGTTTTATTCCTGGTGTATGTGTGAAATCATGGGGTTGATTGTTTCTGTCCTAAAGATCTGTGAGCTGTTGTACATTATATGGACTTCATTTGTGTACACTTTCCCATGGAATATTGGGTACATTGTAAGGCGCACTATTTTCTTCTATTAGAGAATAATCCTTGGATAATCTTTTAAAATAGTTCTCGAGTTTTGTAAATGATGTTGTCAAAGTTACTTCCTTTTCTGTGCCAATGTGTTCAGCTGAAAAGTTTTTGGGGGTGTTCAATTTGTGGTTGTCACATTTAGGTGACCAGAGCTACCTTCAGGACAGTGCCGACTGTGTAATAGATTTTCCATAATTAAGAGGAATATTGCAATACCAGTGACGTTGTTATACCCAAGATTCAGAATCGGCATGAACTCTGCTGGTGGAGAGAAGACACCTTTCCCAGGCTGCACTGCTGGCTAAACTCAGGAAAAATAATTTTATTTCTTTCATTTCCTTTTTCCTGTTCCTTTCTGATTTTTCACCTTGTCTTCTAAGCTGCCATTCCTTTTGCAGTGCTATAACCACAGCATGTAAAGTTCTTTCTGTCCCACATCAGCCCGTCAAGCCTGTGTAGATTCTGCTCAATAGTTTTGAATTTATAATGTAATGATTGACATCACAATTTGACGAATATTTTGCTTTATATTCATGAAGGAAGTAGCCCACCATTCAGGTTCTCATGCTGATACCTATATTTTTAATACTAATATTAACTTTTGGAATACCACAAATTGGCATCTGTGTACTTAGTAATTGGGATGATTTCTCTTGTCCTGATTTTCATTGGAAACCTTGAGAATTTCTCATTGTTGTCCTGTTAACTTCTTCATTGGGATGGAATTAACCCATTTTAAACAGGTTTTATTCTCACTTTTTTCATTTTTTTTTTTATTGATTTTAGAGAGGAAGGGAGAGAGATAGAAACATCAATAATGAGAGAGAATCTATTCTCACTTTCCTGAATGTAGGTTAATGTTGGTCATTCTTTCTAGAGGAACCCGAGACCATGGCGGCTTTGTAGGTGAATCCTTTTATTAATTTGGATGAAAGTTATTTTTTATATTCACAGCTTGACCAGAGGTATGTCCATTGCCATTAGCTGTCCCTGGAGTGTTTTCCAAGCCATCACTGTAAGTTCCAGGGACTGTAGGATAGCAGAGATTAAAATGAAAGCCGAACATTTATTCTCAGTGTCCAGTGCTGAATTTGTACAAGTTTATAAGCATGAGTTCCTAAGCATGTGCCACCCAAAGGACTGAAAAAATGATTGCAGAGACAAGATGTTCAGTATGCTTCTACTCTACTTTCTGGCATACTCATGGAGCATTTCTATGTATGTGTGTCTCCTGATATTTTGTGACTGGGACTCATCTGGACCAGGGGCTTTATGAATTTGTTCTGTTAATTGACATACTATGGGATCCAGACCTTTCAAAGACTTCAATCCCATCTAGACAATATTTCCATTTTCTGGTACAGTAGTGAGGAATGTTGAGGAGGTGTATTGATACCAAATACACGTAAGATATTTTTTTTTCTCATGTGGCCATTAGGAAACTGATGAAGCAGACACTGCCCCTTGAGTTAGCAGAATTCTGTCTTCATTTTGTTCAGAATGCATATTCTTCTGCTTTGGGGTGAAAAGTTGTAAGTCAGAGGTTTCAACCATTTTATCTGATGGCACACTTGAACTAATTACTGAAGTTCAGTGGTTCACCAAAATAAATATATTCCCAGTCTTCCAAAAAAAAAAAGTCTGATTTTGATCCATGCACACCACACAGCTATTACTGTGTTGGCTGTTGTCACTTATTTTATTCGACAATCTATGGGTAATATAGTCTGTGCTATTGACTAAACAGTCACTGCTGTTTGTTTTAAAAATTCTTGCAGCACACCAGTTTGCGTGTGTGACACTCCGGTTGATAATCTCTGGGGTAAACATATAAAATCCCGGGGCAGGCGGGGAGAGGTCACGGGGGGAGGGGAGGGAAGGAGACATATGTAATACTTGAAACAATAAAGAATGTACATAAAACATAAAATCTGTCTTGTCTAATGATTCCTTTAAGACCACTTTTCCTTATTGATTTATTTGTTTGGGAGGTCTATCCATTGATTTCCATGGGAAGTTAAATTCCCCTCCTATGGTTGAATTAATTAATTTCAAATGCCAATAGCTATATACCTATCAATAATCATGTACAATATAAATGTTTTAGCTGCTTCAGCCAGAATACACAGGGTAGCTGAATGGATAGGAGAACAAGACCCTTAACATATCCTGTTCACATGAGGCAAAGGCTGTTTCTTCTATCAGTGTCTCCCCCGCACCCCCACATTGGTTCCTGCGCATTTGTGCACATTAATACATCAGTACATATGTCTCTTATTTCCTGGTTTGTATAGAGCTTCCAGGACATCCATCCAGGTGGGGCCCCTAAGCAATTTTTACCGACCAACCTGGATGATAGTCCAGATGGAGGGGTGGGCAAACTTTTTAACTCGAGGGCCACAATGGGTTTTTAAACTGGACCGGAGGGCCGGAACAAAAGCATGGATGGAGTCTTTGTGTGAACTAATATAAATTCAAAGTAAACATCATTACATAAAAGGGTACGGTCTTTTTTTTTTTTAGTTTTATTCATTTCGAACGGGCCGGATCCGGCCCGCGGGCCGTACTTTGCCCACAACTGGTCCAGAGCCTACTTGCAATCTCTAGTCCCTGTGTGAATAGACACCCCTTCTCAAAGTGATCACCTCACCAAAGCCTGTGGCTGAGTTCCACATTATTGTCTCATGCAGGGATGTGTAGTAAGGATGTTAATTCATTATGTGAACATAAAAGCAAACAGTAAAACTAGCTTTCAAATGTTTACTAGCATCCTTTAAACCCAAAATAATTTTAAACTTGAAATATACAAGGTAATATTATTCTCTTTACTGTAGAAATTCTTAAGATGGTGCTCGTGGATTTTGCATCAACCAGATTGCATCTGTATGTTCCACAGACATTTCTAAAAGCTTATTTCCAATACAGGGCCTCTTGGTTTACTCAGAAATAATAGGAGTTTTGAAAAATTTAAAGTATTTTTATTTTACTATGTTAAGGTTTTATTTTATATTTATATATTTGTTAACTTTTAAAAATATTTTTTTAATGAATGCAGTGAGGAAGGGAGAGAGACAGAAACTTCAATGGTGAGAGAGAATCATGGATTCCCTGCCTCCTGCATACCTCACACTGGGGATGGAGCCATCAAGCTAGGCATGTTCCCTGACCAGGGATGGAAATCTGACTTCCTGGTTCATAGTTCTATGCTCAACCACTGAGCCACGCCATTTAGGCTGGTTTTATTATTTTAAATAAATGTTTATGCTGAAATAGATGGAAAGTTTTGAAGATACATTGCTATTGGACAAAACAAAACAAAACAAAACAGGAAAAACGGAAGCTCCTAGGACTCAGCTTACTTCCACTCCTATGTATGTACTCACTACACAGTGTCCTGCTATTTGTCTATAGATGAAATCTTTTTCAATGAAACATACTTCATATTATTTTTATTTATTTTTTATTTTTTTAATCACATCACTTTTATTTTTTTTATTAAATCTTTATTGTTCAGATTACATTTGTTCCTCTTCCCCCCCTCCTCCCAAAACTCCCCTCCTCCCAGTTCCCGCCCCACCCTCCGCCCTCTGGGAGCTGGGAAACTTCTGTGTGAATTCCAGGTTCCTCCTCCCTCTTTATGCTTTTGCCACAGCTGCCATTTACTCGCTAGCACCCTAGTAAAGGAACAGCCTCTCTATCTGGGGTGCCTTGTGCCATCAGAGGGCACCTGGCCCTTTCCTCCCTTTAAAGAAGTAAAATAAACGCCCTCTCTCTGCTCTTGTCTCTTCTCTTTCTTGTGAATCCTTTCGCAGCCGCCTCACCAGCCAAAACCTTAAGAATGGCTTGGGAATCTCCACCAGGAAGGGCTGTGCTGTGGACAGCGGTTCTCAAAATGTGGGTCGCGACCCCTTTGGCGGTCGATCCACCCTTTCACAGGGGTCGCCTAAGACCATCCTGCATATCAGATATTTACATTATGATTCATCTCAGTAGCAGCATTACAGTTATGAGGTAGCAACGAAAATAATTTTATGGTTGGGTCACAACACGAGGAAGAGTTTTTTTTTTTGTTTACATATTTTATTGATTTTTAACAGAGAGAAAGGGAGAGGGATAGAGAGCCAGAAA